ATTAAAAGAAGAAGATAATTGTATTTGTCTGACAAAATTTGTCAACACTGTATGTTACTGTATCAGGTTTTAACAAAATGTTGTCAAATGTTTTATGGTTGCTTTATAGGGATACCCCTATATATCCTTTCTTGAGTTATTTGCTATCGGTCTCAATAGGGAAAATGTAGAAGTTATGGTGTACCAATAGGTAATTTCCTATAAATATTCTATCGGGCCGTATCCGGAAAACGCATGGACAAATGCACATATTGAGTTAGCGCTCGATAGATTATTTTTATGGGTCTCTATGGGGTATTTTAAGCAGGGATATAGACTATTACCATTGATTAATAAGTACTTCTTCACTTAACGCTATTACACACTTCGCCAGTCACAGATGACTGCATCAATCCTAGCTAGCACAGAAACATCCCAACAATGTACAGCGATGTAAAAATGGGTACATTAAACCTCCCGTGCAATGTACTGTTGATATCGCATGTCTATTGAGGCAACCTCCGAATTTCCGCAACATGTTTACATTGGACAATGTTTTCGAGATGTTACTTTGTTACGTACTGAAAACGTTAGTTTGAAACATCAATTAAAGTAACTTTAAAGCATGCATGCTATGTTTAGATGTAATGTTCCATGAATGTAACTTATTGATATAAAAAGGCTTTAGCAAAAGATACAGGCATCCGGCAAATCATTTAATGTTTTTATACTTCTTTTTTTAGTATTTGTTTTATAAAATGTAAAAAAACTTAAATTTTTAGATAATTTTTGTTACATTATAAACAAATTTGTTTATAATGTAACAAAACTTATCTAAAAATTTAAGTTTTTCTACATTTTATAAAACAAATACTAAAAAAAGAAGTATAAAAACATGAAATGATTTGCCGGATGCCTGTATTAATGCATAAAAAAGAAAAACAAAAACACAAAGTAATTTGCTTAATATGTAAGTTCTAAAGAAATTAAAAAAAACTACTTATAATAAATTAATATATTCAGGTAAAAAAAATTGTATACACACTGTACAAATAATAAATTCACGTTTTCCAATCATGTTGAGAACATTGCTTCTGGATCTATGAAAAGCTTGGGATTTATAATTCGCAATACTGGGGGTTTTAGAGATATTAGAACATTTCAGTCTCTTTATTACGCATTTGTTGTATCTAAGCTGGAATACTGCTGTATTGTTTGGAGTCCGCAATACAATATTTATAAGGATAGGCTTGAAATTTCGTTTAGACTTGACGGTATCTATTCTGCTAGAGGAACAAACCACTTGCAGCTTCTTAATAGATTTTCTTTACTGCCTTTGGAGCTAAAAAGAATAATAATGCATTTTAAGTTTTTGTATGGACTGTTGCATAACCAGATTGATTCTATAGCACTCCTTAAATCTGTGAATTTGCGTGTTCCATTTTTTCAAAGCCATAGTCAATTAACTTTTACATATAAAACACCTAGAATAAATGCCATGTATAATTCACCCGTTCAGAGAATGTGCAGATACTTTAATATTTACTGTAGCTCATGTGATATTTTTTACCAGACTTTTAATAGTATAGTTAGTGCTGCCATCTAGCAATTATAATTTACTTTAATTTTAATATTATCCATAATATATTATACTTAACAAATTTCTTTTCTATGTATGTATTTTGTCCTGTAATTGGAACATGTTCTGTTGGGCAATAAATAAATAAATAATAATAAAAACAACAAATTTAGATACAAAATATATATTCCCATTTATGGGTTTTAGTGGCAAGAGGTTTACTAAAGCTTATCAAAAAGAAAGGTCTGTCTAATCTGTAAGCATGGCAAATGCGCCTGGCAGGTGAAAAACTGAACATTATTTTTCAGTTTTTTACCTGCCAGGCGCATTTGCCATGCATACAGATGACTGACTTTTTTAATGAACTTTAGTACACCCCACAATCCACAAATTGTGGATTGTGGTACACCCCTTGCCACTAAAACCATTTTTATCAGTGAAGAAAAACCCATCGGAAAACCCACTTAATTTCATATATACAGGATGTCCCAAAATCACCGATACAAAAACAAAAGAATAAGTAAAAAAGATCACAGCATAGACACAGTAAACTACTTACAGAACAAACCACGCTAGCATCAGAGATAAACGCCATAGAAAAAGAAGTGTTCTTTGGTGGGAAATAGTACATGAGATAACCTAAAATGAATGGCTTCCAACTTGATAAATGCAAAATTGACATAACATTGATAGATTTTATTATCACCATCAATAATACTAGATATTAATAAATGAAATTTCGATTGTTTTTAAAGTTTTTTCACTAATAATATTTAAATAAATTATAATTTCACTCTATTTAAGCCTTTTATTTTATTTATTTATTTTTATATTGTTGGTACCGTTAATCATATGACAAGTAATATACTTAAAATTACCTTTAGTTACATTCTTGGTACCTTTACATTAGATGTTTGTTGCAAGTACTTATGTCATGTTATAGGTATGTAACAATACATCGATGTGCAATATTAAAAAATAATATATCGGCAATATACCTGATATGTTTTCAACGAGACCTAAACAGAACATCGCACGAGCTCGCGTTATGTATCGTGCTAGCTGGCAGTATATGGAAGAATAACATATGTTATTCTTCCATATACTGCCATTGCCATTTCCTTTATAAAAATACTATCCATGGTATATTTTTTTATTTTTGCGGACACTGTAGCAAACACTGTCATAAATTTGTTCTGGGAGAAAGATGTCCTGCCCTGGATGAACCTAAAGAAAAATAATCCATGGTTTTTTTCCGGATACGGCCTGATAGAAAATGTATAGGAAATTACCTATAGGCACACCATAACTTTTACATTTCCCCTATTGAGACCGATAGCAAATAACTCAAGGAAGGATATATAGGAATATCCCTATAGGGCAACCATAAAACATTTGACAAAATTTATTAAAACCTATGGGGTCCTATGAGGGAAAAACTAATTTCTACATTTATGTGTATTTTCCCCATTAAAACCAATAGCCAATAAATCAAGGGTGGATATCCCTATAGAACAACCATAAATCCCAACTATGGGTCCTATACATAACAATACACCCTATAGAAACACCATACATTCCGATACAAATATCTATCGGTCCCTTCGGGGTTTTCTATGTATCGGTCTCTATGGGGTATTTTAAGCAGGGTTAAATCCCAACTAATAGGACCCATATGGGTCCTATTAATACTGATACACCCTATAGAAACAACATACATTCCGATACAAAAATCTATCAGTTTGAACAATGACATTTTAAGCATATGCTTAAAATGTCATTGTTCAAACTGATATATTGCAATTAACCAAATATTTGGGCATTAATTAATAATATTAATATGGACAGCAAACTAAATTTTAACTCGAACGGTGACATAATGAAAACCAAAACAGTTAACAGATTAACAGATTGTTAATGAAAACCAAAACAGTTAACAGAGCGGCCCACTTTAGATCTTTAACTTATCAAAATAGAGGCATAGATAAACTTACCGCAAAAGAATATACACAATCATATATATGACATATGTCTTCCCATCCTGGAATATGGTAGTATTTTATTCATGAACAGCACAAAAACCTGCCTTAAAAAACTGAAAGTTGCATAAACAACAGCTATTAGAAAAATAACATAAACCCAACACCCCAACAATCCCCACCATAACCCCCCGAACCCCCTTCTTAAGAGATTATTAATATTCCCAATATCCTCACACCCACACAAGAACTCGCACAAAAATTTAAAGAATCAGATTCAAACATCAAAAACATCCCAGCAAACAGAGCTGTAACCAACTCGTGTTATTCACGTCGCATTTTGGTTGTTATTTAACGAGTTTTAAAGTAACGGAATATTGACGTGAAATAAACGTTTTGAAAAAACGAATGTTTTAACAAAAATTAAACCAGAGCTAATAATTTAATCCAGGATGGACGGTCACAGTATTATGTGGCAAGTGCTTTAAACGTCATAAGAAGTAAAGTACAAAGGGCAACATCAGTCGGAGACATTTTTAAAAGTAAGAAGACACCTCAAAATTAACACATTAATTTACAAAAAACAATTTGATAGCTTTTGAAAGCTGTATACATATATATATGATATGTCCAAGTATGGGATGATTCAACAAAACTGTCACTGTCGTTCTCCATAGGCTATGGATGGACCATAGCAACCTTAGTTCTTCATACAGCAAAAATATTGGAAATTGCAATGTTTTTTAAAAAAAATCCATATTTTCCACAAAAATAAATATATCGATGTGAACCAAAAACAAAACTGTTAAGAATAGATGTGACTTGATAAATAAAACTTAATTTAGAACAATATACGGTTTTGCCACTCTACAGAGTGTCTTAAACTTATGGTAAAAAACATCTTTTTGTTTAAACCTGTATATTATAAACTTACGTCTATTTTTTAGTATTTTTTTAAAATGTGAGCGATTGTCCATTAATTTATCTACAATATTCTTTAATATTTGTTTAAATCCGACATCAAATAAAAAAGTTATTTGCGATTGAAATTCATCGAAAATTTGTGTGGATCGATTATTTTGCACGTGAGTGTATTACCAAAATGTCACGTGTTTTTCACGCTTTTCTGTTTGCTGGGATAGAAAAAATGTGCATCAAACTGGGAGATGAACAAAGAAAAAGCAAGAATCCAAGCCTCACCTTGTGGGAAATATTAAAGGAATAGCTAGCTCTCTTCTTTTTATTTGTTCAAGTATATGAGAATAATTATATAATTTATTTTTTATATAGGTACATTCAAAGCATTTTTTTATACCGAAACATTGTATAGATACATATTATTTAAATGGGCAGAATGACCTGGGTTAATAGCCCTTTGGTTAAACCAATAGACTTTTTTTTATAGCTCTGGATGTTTTTAATTATTTTTCCCGTCATCGGGTGTCTCCACCAACATACTGAAGAGTTTATCCATCATTTTGTTCACACCCTGTATATTGTTTTTAAATTAAGGCCACTTAACCTATTTAAATTGGAAATAACACAAAGGACCATGCATGGATTTGAAAGTTGAATTCCTCAAAGTAAAAACTTCTTTAAAAAACAAATTACATATTTAATTTTATTGAAAACTAAAATTTTATAAAACAAATTAATTTAATAAAATTACCTTAATTATTTACAAATCCTGCTAAGGATCTATAGATCCTGCAACATCTTATACGTATAAGTTTTATCACATTAAATTTGGCTCTATGTTAAGCTCAAATTTAGCCCTCTGAATAATATCAATATCTGCAGTAAACTGTAATAGTTCTTCCATATTTTTATCTAACTTTTGAATGTTTTTCTCATCTTTAAACTTAAAATCAATTGGCTTTGTGTATAATTTTGTATTTAATGCTTGATTTGTGCTTATTGCCATTTCATTTAAAACATCATTCAGAGTTGTAATTTGACTTTCAATTTTGTATAAATTAGGACTTAAACTACTGTTGGGCTTTTTATTTAATGAATCTAAATCATACTCTTTTAATTCAGTTTCATACTTCTCAAGTTTTATTTTTTCTTCTTTTTCAGACCATCTTCTTAGTGGACCATATTCAGGAAACAGATTTAAATCCAGATCAATTAAATCATTAGTAATATTTACAAAAGGGTCATCTATTGAATTTTTTTCTGTAGAATTGTTCTTTAATTCCTTAATAAAAATAAATAATTTGCACAATATTTGAAGTGTACTCGTAATATCCAATTTTCCTTCAAGAAATTCACTGCTTTTCTTCTCTGAGCAAAAACCATGTCCAGCTAATATGTTGGATACATTATCATCACTTGTTAAATCAAAATTTTCATTTATGATGTTCAATATCCATTTGACAAGAAACTTTCTATTTCCGGCACTAAATAAGTCAGCAATTCCATCGTCATCCAAAAGATGTATGTTTGGATATTGATACGTAAAAAAACATTCTTTCATTTGTTCAAAATCAGCCATAATTTATATAAAAGTAGTATTTTCTTATAAAATAAATCCTAACCGACAAACTTGACAGATATCAAACAAATTTAAATAGCAGTTATGCCAACCCACAGAGTGTGCCAACCGCAAGACAGAATTTATTTAGTTATTTTGAACTACTGTTTGAATTAAAAGAAAGTGAAGAATTTGATTTGCTTTCTTCTTTAATATTAATGCAGATTTGTTCCCGCTCGTTTATAAATTTTATTCATTAAGGTTTCAAGTGATAAATATAGTTGTCGCGGAGAATGTTTCAAATTGCGTCATCACATTCACACATTTCACACATTACAATTATTGTTGTATAATCACAGAACATATCCAAGGAAGTTCCTTGAAGGAACCACTATTGTAACATTCGCCGCGACAACTATACGTAACTTTGTTGTCCACAAATATAATGCCTTGGTAAACTTGTGTACTTTAGTTTAGTTAGTGAAGAGAAGCAAACTTGTAAGTGATTTTTAGCGCATGCTCACTGATTTGTTTACATTCAAAAATTGCATTTTTAGAATTCTATTTGCGTGATTTTTTAAGTATATTAAAAAGGTTTATTATAATTCTATCATTATGACAGCCGCCCAAGTGGAAACTATAGATTTTAAATCACCAGATTTTGATTTATCTATATCTCAAGAAGAAAGTTTGAGTAAAACTGTTAGAATTGCTGATATGTCTGGTTTAAATACCCCAAAACCTGTTTTGCATTTGGGATCTTCAACAGAAGTAAACATTTAGTAAATTGTAATTGTGATTGTAATTTACTTAACAATTTTATAGTTCCAAAGGCAGGGAACAGCTCTTCCAAAAACCCCATATAAACCTGGAACTGGGTATAGATCTGGAACCGGTTTTAAACCAACCACAAATTTTAAGACAAATGTGGCTAAACCTGGGACAGGTTTTAAACCTGGTACAGGCTTTCGTCCAGGTACAGGGGTGGACTTGGTTAATAGACCCATGACAGCAGTAAGGGGTGCTGGGTATACCTCGCATGGAAAACCATTTGATCCTCTTAATCAAGCTGGAGCAGTACCTACACCACCTCTGGAGTTACAGAAAGATGACTCGTAAGATATTAGTTTAAATTCTAGATATTTTAGGCAACCTAATTAAATTTTAGACCTGAGGAAAAAACAAGGCAGCAAGAAATAAAAATAATGCAGTTGGTCGAAGAATCATGCCTGGCAAATGCTGAAGGTGATCATAGGAAGGCACTTACCAAAGCTAAAGAGGCTTCAAATAAGGAAAGAGCCTTAATAAAAATGCAGGAAGTTGCTGGGCTTGGAGACCACCACAATATTGATTTAACATATGCAGTAAGTTACTTGTATTAAACATTTTTGTAATAATACTATGTATACTAAGATCCAAAAAAGTTTTCAGCATATACAGGTTGTCCCGAATATGGGGCACTAACGCCATATTTTAGATATAAAAAAGTTTTTGATTTATTATAATACTTATACTTAAATGCTTATTAGCATTCAAGTTTAAAAAACTTGGCAAAAATTCTCAGCTTCAAAGTTCTATTAGGTCAAAAGATAATTACAAGTTTAATCCGAAAATCCTATGGGCTTCTAAGCATTCAAGTTTAAAAAACTGGGCAAAAATTCTCAGCTTCAAAGTTCTATTAGGTCAAAAGATAATTACAAGTTTAATCCGAAAATCCTATGGGCTTCAAAGCTGACCAACCCACAAGTGAAAATGGTGGCGCTTGAACACTGGGCCCACAAGAACGCTTTTTCTCACCACTCAAGAGAAGATACTCAAGTATTATGCGCGTTTTTTGGTATCTTCTGTAGGCCTAATCCACGTCAAAATATACGTATGTATGTGTTTACGATTGTTTGACTGATTTTTTTCAGTGTCGTGTGGTATACCACCTATAGGTCAGGACTTTTTTCAGATTAAGAGTAAAAAGGTTACAAAATGTTTATCGTACTAATTTACCGTAAAATGTACTGTTTGCAAATATTTGTATTGTATTTCAGATTCCTGATTTAATGCATATAGTTTTTAAGATTTTAACGGAAAAAATGCACTTTTTTGACTTATCCCCTTTTGAATTGTCCGGTATTCGCGCTGATAGTAAATTACCCGTAGGTATATCTGTTTAATCTCTAACCCCCACAACATGGCACACCGTTAGTGCCATAGATGACCGAAGGTTAGTGCGCCATTTTTGAGACCTGTGTACAGAAAAAGTTTTTTCCTATTCTACTGTATGTTTAGAACCATAGAATAGTATATTCTGTAACAAGTTTGGAATACAGCATATTCCGCTCCAGTGAAGAGATTGTCACACGAGCCGAAGGCGAGTTTGACGGTTTCACGAGAGCGGAATACGTGTTTCAGACTATACTTTTTCTACGTTTCCAAAAAATACCATAGAAAAATAATTTAATTGGAAGATTGTGAGGTTGGATCGGTCTAAAATTTGTTAGATATTAAAAACAGAGATGTCGCCACGAGTGTTTATTCTGTCATCCAATGATAGAATATTTTATTACGGAATATATGTCATTCCATACTATGGAATCCATAGATAAAAGTGATATTAGAACGGTCAAATTCCGTAATAGGAGTAGAAAAAGGCATTTTTCTCACCCTCTAAATAATACTTCCAAGATTTTACTAATACCTCATAACCTGTATGATACAGGAAAATCAATTTGAAGAAAAAACTTAGCTAGGATTTTCTCCAAAGTAAAACCCTAATTTTAGTAGTAGTATTTCCACCTTCAAATCCTAGTTTTCAAAATTGGCAGATTGCAGATTTGATTTAATCAAATCTCCAATCAGCAAATTTTAAACCTAGGATTTGAAGCTGGAAAACTACTACTAAAATTAGTTTTTCCTAGCCAAGATTTTTCTTCGGAATCTTGGCCCAAGCGAAATCGTATCGGCTTTACCAAATATCGAAGGTCAAAGTTCTCAAAAAACTGTTTTTCTTATTAAGTACTGGAAAAGATCTTTGGAAAACTAGAAAATTAAAATCGGTTATTATAGAAAATAATTATTCGAAAAAAAAATGCCTAAATAAAATTTAAAATATTGCATCTCCCTATCTAGGCAAGCACTTAATCCAGGATTGTGAGGTGCACTTATACCTGCTATAAATCAAAATAATATTTAACAGTGTTAATTTTAAAATGTAGAAATTTTAACATAAAACTGAACATATATTTTGAACTGTAACGTTTTTATTGGAAAATAGAAAAACTGTAAAATGTAATGTTTGGGAACGACTTTTTACCCCTCGTTCATTCAAACTTGTTCACATTAAACCATAGAAAAAGTTGCACTAAACGAAACATGTTAAACGGTAATTTGACAAAATTTTGTCCCGCCCAGAGATGAAACGTAAAAACTAATTTTATTTATACCTAGGTACAAACAATTTAAATTTGTAAAATATTTAAAGATTAAATCAAAATAAATAAAATAATATAAGGTAAAATTTTAAATTTAAATAACTTTAAAATTTAAGTTTAAACATAACATTCTCTTAAAATATTAATTTTAGACTTTTTTAAAAAGACTAAATTTCCTACAAAAAATGTATTTACTTTACAGGTTAACAAGTTAATATCAAAAAAACATAAATTTAATTCAATGAAACAAATGCTTATTCAATTGTTTTGGTTAAAAATATGTAGTTGTAGTTAGATAGAATAGGTTTATTTAAAATCGGTATTAACATCTTGGTTCATTTCAGTTGAAGGCGTGTAATTTATAAACAGCTAGCAATATATACAAATACAATTGTCATCATTATGAAAAAAATATGGTAAATACTTATAAAAACATTAAAAAGTATATCTTTGGCATAATGCTTAAAAACATTGTTCTTAGGAAGCAAACTCCCTTACTAATTCATCCGGTTTAAAAACACCCTTTTCGGTTATTATACCGGCAATAAGGGAAGCAGGTGTGACGTCAAATGCTGGGTTCCAACACGGTATACCCTTGGCGGCTATCCTGTGTTCCCCGATGTGGGTCATTTCCCTATCGGGTCTCTCCTCTATAACAATACGATCGCCGCTAATTATCTTCAAGTCAATTGATGTTTGAGGTGCTGCAACGTAAAAAGGCACACCGTGATGTTTTGCAATGACTGCGATCTGATAGGTTCCGATTTTGTTAGCCGTGTCGCCATTGGCCGCCACTCTGTCAGCGCCCACTATGACTGCTGATATGTTTCTGTGCTTCATCAGTGCTGCCACCATGCTGTCGCAGATCAAGGTGGAGGGGATTTTGTCGTGGACAAGTTCGTAGGCCGTGAGACGGGCGCCCTGATTGTAGGGGCGAGTTTCCGTACAGTAGACGTGTTCGATTCGTTTCATATTGTGCAGCATTCGAATTACGCCGAGAGCTGTTCCGTAGCCGGCCGTGGCTAAAGATCCTAAAAAAAATTACTAGGTTTACGTTTTATTAGCAAAAAGGTTTTGATTGTTTTAGATTAAATACTTTACATTAACTACACCACACCTAAAAATTGCAAAAATTGATTTCTATAAAAAAAAATAATTATTATTATATACTAGCCAGCTTCAGTAAGTAATGACTAGTAGTCACTGACTAACGAAAATGTTAAATTACTATATTATATATTGTTTGAATTATTTTCGTTAACATTATTTGTAAAATTTGTATAATTAAAAAATAAAAATAAATAATTATTTTTCAAATTTTAAGGTTTACAATTTCTATTAAATTTTGAAGAAAAAATAATTATCATTAGGTTTTGGTAATCCATTTTTAGCAAGGTTTATGGAATGTTTAATTTTTAAAAAATAATGTATACTTCCTTGCTTGTGTGAAATTCTTTATTTGCGACTAGTTTCGGTTATACACCATCTTCAGGCAAAAATGTAAAGTTTTAAAATATGAGTTAAAATAATATTATAAATTACGAACATAGAAGTTTTAAAAACAATTTTTACACTTTATAAATAAATGTTTTAAAACTTCTATGTTCGTAATTTATAATATCATTTTAACTCATATTTTAAAACTTGACATTTTTGCCTGAAGATGGTGTATAACCGAAACTAGTCGCAAATAAAGAATTTCACACAAGCAAGGAAGTATACATTATTTTTTAAAAATTAAACAAAAAATAATTATTTTTCATATTTTAAGGTTTTCAATGTCTATTAAATTTTGAAGAAAATTTATAAATAAGGAAGATTGAAAACAAATGTTTATTTTAATTTTGTTAATCATAACAAAGTTATAATGATTTATAAGTTATTATTTCTCTAATGAAACAAAAACCGTTATTAGATGGGTTTTCGTTCATCTTAAAACATGCATTTAAATGCTAAATAAGTAAATTCAAAAATTATTGGTCAGGAAAATAGTTATTTATGTCAGGCATAAAAGAAACGTCTCAGCTGAATGGCATACATTTTATTTTTAAGGCACAGTTTTATTTGTTTAACAATGCATGCATAAAACGTACTTTTCAACTGTAAAACTAATTTTATAAAATAATTTGTCAAAATTTTAACTTTTGGACTTGTACTGTTCTTAATCTAACCGATTCAATTAAAATAACAAATTTTAAAAGTATAAAGTGAGGTATAGTGTCATCAGTTATCGATTGTTTTGATTGATCCTAACGGGTTTTATTACAGATTAGGATGTTAAAAAAACTTGATAGACCTGATTGGTCTAAATTATTTTTACAGCCTAGAAGATAATCGAATACTTTGGTAGTAAGCGTTGACAATAATAAAGCTTAAATTATAGAATGCTTAAAGATTTGTTTGTACTTAAAACCACCTTTCTTATCGCTTGATTTCGGAATATCAACTTGTTTGGGAAACAAATTAATATTAGCTATTTTTGCAGAGCTAATCCCGAAGTAATTCCGGTCATCCTAGTCATGAGCTTTTTAAAATTTGGGGTTCAAAATGTAAAGTGCGCATGACAAATATTAAAATGCGCATGCCTAGGATGTCCGAATTAGTTCGGGATTAGCACCGCGAAAACACCTTTTAACCCTTTAGGACCTTTTGGTCACATTTGTGTACGCTCCGTTTGATGTTTTTTTTTAAATACATTTTTACTGAAAAGACATCCTATGACCCGTTGTACACGTTTGTGTACAATATTTTTAAATTTTTGTGGAGCCATCTATACCATATCTATCAAAGCTGGTAGAGAAATCATTCATTTAAATTCAAATTCCAAGATGGAAGGCCAACTGCCGGGTAAGGGATACAATGTTGTAATTATTATATGAAAATTGAAATCGAATAAATCTCCGTTTTTTTTTTGCAATGAAATAATACCTTTGTTTACCATTTGAATATATTTGCAATGTGTGTCAATGCATGTAACTCGTAAAAAAACCCAAAAACCGGGTGTACCCATATGTGCACATCAGGTCTGAAGGGTTTTTAATCCATGTTCACATTTGTGCACAACAGGTCTCAACGGGAAAAAACATAGACATTTTAAATATATTTACCATCTCAACGAAACCCTTATTTGACTCCTTAAAAGCCCAATGGTCACATATGTGTACAATTTTGAATTTTGAATTTTTTTTTCGAAAAGTTTAAAAAATTTCATATAAGCTGTTTTTATCACTTATTAAGACATGAAAATAACGGAAAATAATATCAAATATTTTTTTTGACCAAAAAGAAAAAGTCAGGTCCTAAAGGGTTAATTTTGAGAGAATTTAAAAAATGTTTATCTTCAAGCGTTCTATAATTTAAGCTTTATTATTTTCAATGCTGACTACTAAATTATTCTATTATCTCCTAGGCTGTAAAAATAATTTAGACCAGTCAGGTGAAGTTTTTTACATCCTAGTCTCATTAGGACCGATAAATAAATGTATATATACTATAGGTACTTTTAATTATTGTTATTATAATAACTGTACAATAATTGTAAGTAAATTGTATGTATTGTAACAAATAAATCTGTGCCTTAAACATAAAATGTTGTATGCCATTCAATTGTAGGCTTCTGCTAACGCGTCCGCCTTCAAACTTTGAGCTCAGCACAAAAAAAATTAACTTCTCAGCCTTATGATATAAATAATTAGGTATTATTTAGGTACTTGTTAACTTGCATAAATGCATAGATATTTTGTCAAGAATTAATAAAAAAAATGTGTCATCAAAACTATAAATAAAAAGTCAATTCTTTTATATTAAAATATTGGCGTTATGGCCATTCAATTTTTGGAGGTAAACTACCTTAAAAAGGTTCACTTTTAATTTAATTAAAAAAAGAAGTCATTTAATGCAAAATTTATATTTTTAAAATATTTAATTTAATTATTTATTCTGTTATGGATAATAAGTGCTGCCATTTTTTTAAATCGTTTTTTTATTATCATAAAATATTGTGTATACATAGGTTTATAAATTGATTTGAATTAAAAAGTTCATGTAGTTCTCATAAGCTAGATAACCTAATTGATTAATCAAGAGCAAGCCAGTTAAAAACAAGCATCAATTATGTAGGTATTGAATGAGCAATTAAAATATCTGACCATTTGCCATTTTTACAATGGAATTATGTTAATTACATCTCTTTTAAGTTTTATTTTTAACCTACTTATCCTATTTAAGTCTAAAAATAATTGCCAAACTCACCTGTATTACAGTGGGTTATTACTCTAACCAAACTGTCTCCTGGAATGGATAATAAAATTTTAGAAGCTCCATGTTCACCTATTGCCCTATTGTCTGCAATATCTTTTTCCAGCATCTTCTCTATTGATTGAATGAAATTACTTTTCATTGTGTCTAAATCAAGCTCAGCATTCTTAGAATATTCATTAACAAGGGCTATAAGCTCTTCAGCTGCTATCTTCATATTCACGGCTGTTGGTCTTGAAGAAACCAAATAATTCAGTTTACCCTCAATGTCTTGTCTTAATTCTTTTTTGGACTCGAAGTGCTTGTTGTGTATTTCCACTGCAAGACTCAGACATCCCACGATAGCGATCGCTGGGGCCCCTCTCACTTGCATCTTGTTTATCACTTTCCAACCATCTTCGACACCTTTGACTTGTATGTATTTTGATTGCGCCGGCAGCAACAGTTGGTCCAATATCTCCAGAGAATTGTTTTCATACCTAATTGCCTTCAAAGACATTTTAAACTAGCTACTTCTAACCTACAATTTCACATGTAATAAAAAAATTCAATTATGACATTTTTGGTTATGTTCATAGAAAAAGAATTAAATGTCCAATTGTTATCTTAGTTGCCTATACCAGGGCATCACACCAACAATTACACTGAGCGGCATAAAAGTTAACTTAATTACGTTACCTCATTAATTTAATTTTATTATTTATACAATACAGGATTAGAAAATAAATATGTCATAATATAAACTTTATCTTCAAGCGTTGTATAATTTAAACTTCATTTTCACTTTAAATCACCACCAAAGTATTTCTTTATCTCCTAGGCTGTAAACATAATATATAATATATAGTACAATTATAATAGTACAATGTATATATATATATATATATATATATATATATATATATATATATATATATATTAGACTGGGCCAAAAAAATCAACTATTTTTTTTAAGTATATCGAAAATGTGGTTTGGGGCGACAAAAAAAATTATTGTGAAAGTTTGAATCCATAATATTATTATTAAGAGGTCTATCATCGCAATTTTAAATTTTTTTCCCTTATCAAGTTTTTGTCTCAGAACTCCCAAACCATTGAGTTTAACAAAATTTACTTGAAAATATTTTTTTAAGAAAATTGAATGCTCTACAAAAAAGGTTAAATAAAATGTTTCGTCAGATGAACCATTTCCTTAAAATCATGCCCTAAACATTGGTATAGTTTTACATTTTGATCTTTTAACTTTGGAATTTTGAAATTCACGTAAAAATCAGTACCCATAAAAATACCAATAAATATTCTTATATGAAATCAAATGCTTTACAAAAAAAGCCTCTTAACATTTTTGGCTAAATTCACTCAATCAAAAGTTATTCAAGGTTAAAGTTGAAGTCAAAACGAAACTCTTGCCAAATTTAACCTTTAACCTAATAACTTTTGATGATAGTTGATTTGATTATATGAATACCTATAGTAGTATATAGTAATATATATATATATATATATACATATATTATATACTATATACATTATAATGAAGTATTTAATTGGCTAATTTATGGAACGCCGTTGTATTTTTTTAATCAGGAATATTTGTTGCAACTCCAACTGCTAGTCATATTTTTAATTGTATCGATTATTTTAAACAATATTTATAACTCAACTAATTTTATACTCAAAAATAATGTGGAATTAAAAATATCAAAGTGTCACTAAAATTAAAGTCAATTTTTAATTCAAAGTGATATTTGTAATTCACAGGAATTATCGATATCAAAGTGACCAGAAAATTCAAGTTAATTTTTAATTCAAACTGATATTCATAATTCGCATGAATTATAAATATCAACTTGAATTTTTAATTCAACTTATTTTCAACTAAAAAATGATGTAGAATTAAAATATTAACTGAATCAGTTGACCTACTTAACGATTTATGAGAATACCTGTGTAAATATTTAAAATATTAGGTAATTTAATTAATATTAATTATTATGCCTATTATTAATAAAAACGGTATAATATAAACAAACATTGCCGCAAAATAATTTAACTGAGATTAAAGCAAATATACCTACTGTAGTAGATAAATTGAACCGTCAACATTACCAGGGGTGTCCAAACTGAGGGAATAAAAAATATGTCTTTCATTTAAAAATATCAAATAATTCTTAGTTTCCCTTTAATATTTTAATTCTACATCATTTTTTAGTTGAAAATAAGTTGAATTAAAAATTCAAGTTGATATTTATAATTCATGCGAATTATGAATATCAGTTTGAATTAAAAATTAACTTGAATTTTCTGGTCACTTTGATATCGATAATTCCTGTGAATTACAAATATCACTTTGAATTAAAAATTGACTTTAATTTTAGTGACACTTTGATATTTTTAATTCCACATTATTTTTGAGTATAAAATTAGTTGAGTTATAAATATTGTTTAAAATAATCGATACAATTAAAAATATGACTAGCAGTTGGAGTTGCAACAAAAATTCCTGATAAAAAATACAACGGCGTTCCATACTCCCTCATTTATTACACTTGCAAACTTTTTGAAATCACAATTTAAATACGCACAAATAATATTTATGAAATATTTTTGACAGTTCTGACATTTCTCTACCAAACATGAATTGACTAAGTCAAAGCCATCTAAGTTTTAAATTATAAATAAAACTAACAATATCGCTTCTTAACTGCATTAAAAAAATTATTATATCTTTTACATGGATAAAAATAACAAAACAAGACGAACTAGACTGAAAAGATGAAGGTGGTGACACTACATTTCCTGAAAGTTTCGTATTTTTATTTTTTCCTCAACATAATGATTTCTTAGGGCAAAATTGGCTAATTTTGAAAATTATCAAGTTTTAATAATTTTTTTAATAAAGAAAATAATAGTCTAGAAACTTAAAATAATAGTTAAGTTTTCTATTGTATAAGTACTTGATACCTGAAAAAAAATCAACTTTCTAGATTTAGCAGATTAGGCACAAGAGCCAGGCAAAAATCACAAAAATTGGCAAATTATTTCAAATCTTTAGTGGTTTACCATTCTTTTATGAGATGAACTAATTAGATAATAATAATTAATATTGAAAACGTACTTACTAGGCAGTAAAATAAAATTACAATAATTTCAATAATTGCCACAGAAAAAAATTGTTAGCCTCTAATAAGAGAGTAAGAAAATGACACAATTTCAGGTTTCTAAAGGGTGCTGATTAAAAATAAAGCAACTAAAAATTAAAACGGCAACGGTTTTTCATATATGATACCTAAAAGATCATCCTCAAATTTTTTCATTAAAATAAAAAATCATGCAGCGCACTTTTAAATTCATTTTTTGGTGTTTTCATTTGGATTGACTCTAGGAAAATAAAGTTGTTAATAATTATTCTACTAATACAATAATGAATAATTTCAAAGGGCTACGTTGAGGCTAATATTATTGATATTATATTATGTTGGAAAAATGTATAATTAGCTCATTAAAAGTTTAATAAAATATAAACTTTAATTTTAAGGTACTTTTTACTCTTGGAAATCAATATGCAGCAAATGAACTATACACAGAAGCTATAAACACCTATCAAATGATAATTAAAAATCGCATGTTTTCAAACGCTCATCGTTTAAAAGTAAATATGGGAAATATTTATTATAAGCAAGGGCAGTATCAAATGGCTGTGAAAATGTTTCGTATGGCTTTGGATCAAGTACCGTCAAGTCAAAAAAATCTTAGAATAAAAATAATGCACAATATTGCTCTGGTTTTTATTAAAATGGGACAATGGGAGGAAGCGGTCTCCAGTTTGGAGTACATTATGAGCGAGCAAGCTTGTCACAGGGCCGGTTTACACCTGATAGTTTGCTGTAGAGCTTTAGAGGATAGGGACAGAATGAAAACTGCATTCTCTATGCTTTTGGCTGTTCCTTTGGACGTTGAAGATGATGATAAATATAATCTTGAACAGGTATTTATAATATAAACACGGTTCACAAAAAATGTGATTTTGAACAAAATTTCCTTAAAAAAATTAGTAAAAATTTGTGGCCCTTATACTAAATCAAAGTTTTCTGAAAACTCAATTAAAGGGTCCAGTGCAGTTAGCCTAAAGGTTTGGACAAAATTTCACTCGAATTGCAGCCAGGAACAAATATAAAATTTAAAAAAATATTTATGTGACTATAAGAGCGTTTGTTTACCTCCTGTGAACTTTCATTAATTGGAGATACCTGGTTCTTGCACTAGACCCCTCCATTAAAATGGAGTTGTATTCATACAGTTGCAATAATTATTATTATGTTCTAGTCTAAAAACAATACATAAATCTAATTATTGTATAGTGTCTTTGGAATACCAGAAACCTAGGGGAGTTTAAAAATTGCTGTTAGTAGTACATTATGGGATTTTTAATTTTTAAAACCTCTAGATATCCACAATTGTGTAGATATCTATAAAAAACATATGTTTTATATATATAAATTGAATTTTAATGACTTTGATAGTTAGTATTGGTTCTTTAATTAATTTTTAGGGATGAGATTGATATTAATATATATTATATAGTCACTTTCTAGATTAAAAGTTTAAAAAACCTTTGGTTTATTTTCTAATAATTATATTATAAATTATATTTTGTCACCCTCTATAAATATACAATACAGTCACGTTCGAACTCTTGATGACGACAGACGTTACGTTACCGAAACCTATCTCAAAATACACATAAGAACACCACCCACAAAATAATATACTTTTACAGTGCAAATAAACTATAGTACATAATACAGTGAAACAAATATTACCTTATGGATAGGAAAATGATTAAGTGAGCAGTGGCAGAACTTCGAAATTTGTCCCCCACTCAAAATTCAATATGGGCCCCTTCCGAAAACCTATACCTGGTGCGCGAAATACCTTGCCGGCGAAAAACCCCAGCAGCGAAAATAAATTAGGCAACGTTGTGATGAAGGTTAAATATTCACCAATATTCTTTGTTTTGTAACATTATGTTTGTTCCAACAGCAGAATATGCCTAATATGCATGTATATCTAATACTGTTTTTTAAATTATCAAATGGCTTAATGGCGAAATATCGGTAACATCGGTATCACGGTAATAAGTGATAGCTTCTTATTATATATATAGTTGTCGCCACAATATCGACAGCACACATACTTCCACAAAGTATGTGCGGCAGCCCTCTAATCAGTGATAGCTACTAATGTATAAACCTAGATGTCGCCGCAGTATTTTTTTAAACGTCAACAAAATTTGTAAAGAATTTAATTCTTACTAGTTTTGCCTATATTATTTATCTATATACATATATGTCAGGTTCTTAATGTTGTTAAAATAATTTAAGAAACATGTATGTTTTTTTAAATTATTTTAATGATGGGCCCCCTAAGCCCCCTCGCACTGCTCCCTTGTGCTTCTACTAGTTCCGCCACTGTAAGTGAGAATTGATAAGTGATTGCATATCTGGCGAACTAACCATGACAATAGATTCTAAGAAACAACCGATGCTAACCAAGAGTGAAAAGGGCCATCATCTGCAAAAAACCGATAAATACTAACCGCATGACCTAATACGCAAATTTGCAATAAAAACCTAAGGGCGGTAAACTTAGTACCAAGACAATAGTAACAAAACAAGTAAAGTAAAACATAAAAAGGCGTTCCTATTTGGTATAGAGGGCATTTACTGAAATAGCAGAGCAGTATAAAGTTTATATACTATAAATTAACTAATAATCAAGGACGTCACAAAACCCATAAACTTAAGAAGCCTGCCCCCCAAAAAATAGTTTAAAACTAAACGAGACAAAAATAAACCTATGACTTAAAAAGACCGGCAATAAATTAAGAACTTAAGAAACAATCTAAACACAGACAAGTCAATACACCCGTATAAAGGACAATATTTATGACTAAATGTATTACGCACACTAGAGTAAAATACTTTGTGTATGTCTGTTTACTATATTTTCAGCTTGGTGAAATAACGACTGGCTTAATATGGTTGAATCTTCCTTGAAGTCAGCTGCATATTATGAACAACCCGACATAGACGGTAATACTTCGGTACTAAAGACAAGTTAACTTTTTCAGTCTAGTAAAGTAACGACTGGCTGATTTAGAAGCTTATATAAAGTTAGTACTGACAACAAAGGACAACATGTAGACTACGATTAGGAAAGATTGGCCCCTGCTGCAAACAAACAACTACCCAACTGCAAATACTAACGCCCCGGTCAAGGGGGATTATTGGAGCATAATTGTTCCTTTAACACCAAAAGGTCTATCCCCCCGTCACGAACTCCTTTATGATCCAACTGGGCGTATAGTAACGGTTCGGCGAAACCGGAAGGGGCTATACTGCCCTCCTATGGAGAAAGGCAGTAACTGCAAAAAAATGCAAAATGAGTTTTCTTGTGGTATGGTAAAGCTATGGACATTCTGTAACCGAATTCAACACAGAAATGCAGTCAAATATCTCATAAAATAAAAAAAATCAATTAAATACCTACTGCTTTTTATAAAAATGTAGTTTATGCTAATTTTCCATAAATTTCTTGTTTAGCAGTTACTGCCTTTCTCCATAGTAGGGCAGTATAATTGGCATGTCGCCCTCGAGCCCCAAATATGGCACAGTATGGGACGCGGTGGACATTAGCACCCAGCAAACACAGGTGAAGCCTTGCAAATACTGGCGACGAATAAAAAACGGCGTACGGTAACGGATGCACTCGAAGGGCTCGGGTAAGATGAGGCAATGGGGCAAATTATATTCATATATACAATACATAAAAATGAAAATTTTAAGAGGTACAACTTTCGGTATAGCCATTTTTACGCAGTATGTATTTTAACAAAGCTAATTGAACATCCCTAAAAGTTAGGATTGCGTCCACAGACAAGGTGAAGTATTCCATTGGAAACCACCTCTTACCAGCAGTGGCGTAATACCACTGTATGATCCATAGGCGCCTAAAGGTGATCTAGGATATATTTTTTCATACACCCTTTTGCATTTGAAAGTTTTTGAACAAAGGTCGTCTGTAAACCTTATTTCCTAAATCTTATATAGGCGCCATTAAAATTTTGCGAGGGAGCGCACACTTTCTTAGTTACGCCACTGCCTAGTTTACCTATGTTGGACTCCTATACCTTTTTTATTTTTTTTTATTGAAATCGATAAAAATAGGATTTTAATTACTTATTTAGTATTTGGGTACGACACAAAATAGTATGTAATATGTTTTTTTTTATTTTCTTGTTAAGTTTTATTTAAGAAAATGGTTCAGAATCGATAAATAATTCAATATCAAATTTTTCTTGAACCGTGTAAAGTAAAAGCCAACCTTCATATATTAATATAATTTAGGATAATCCTGAAGATGTAATAATTGCTTTCGCAATTCAAAACGATGATCTACATAAACATGAATCCGCCAAGCGTAAAGATGCTGATTTCTGTATATTAACAGCTGCAAAACTTATAGCTTCACTAATTGAAGATACATTCAGCGAAGGTAAAATTTTATTAACAGCCGCACAACCATTACAGAGCACCTTGGAATTATCTTATTTAGGCACCAATATTCTAATTTGTTACACCAATGTTTAGGGTATGATTGGTGTGTAGCTGCAATAAAAAATTCCGAGTACGCGAAGCTATCTTCGGACTTGGAGATTAATAAAGCGGTGATGTTTTTAAAGCAAAAACAACTGCAAGAAGCAATAGATACGCTTAAAGCGTTTGAAAAGGATTCCAATATTGCAGCTAATGCAGCTGTAAACCTTAGCTTCATATATTATTTGGTAACACATTTTGTAAATTTATATTACAATTTAATAATACCTTATGTTAGCAAGGTGACATACAAAATGCCACTAAGTATGGGGAAGTTATTAAAACATCCAAATCCGAAATTCCAGAGGGATATGTGAATTATGGCGTTTGTATGATGGCAAAGAGTCAGTTAGATGAAGCAGCTGCTTGTTTTAGAAAAGCACTTGAACTGAACTCTACTCATTTTGAAGCTATTTACAATTTGGGTAAACATTTTTACATTTTTAATTGAAATAATTTTTAAACAACATTTTTAGGTTTGACCTTGAAGCGCCAAGGCCACTATCAAGAAGCACTTAGTTGCTTCCAAAGATTTTCTGGATCCTTGGCCTTACTACCTGCAGTGGTTTACCAAGTAGGTAATCTGCTCGAGTTGATTGGAGACGTGGAAGCTGCAGCGGACACATATCAGCAGCTTCTAGGATTGACCCCGGCAGATGCGAGTGCCCTTCAAAAATTAGGTGAACTGTATGATCACGAAGGGGACAAACAGCAGGCTCACCATTATCACGTTGAGGTAAAATTGTGTATGTGTTATGAAATAAAATAAGGCAATCTAAATAATGTTTATCAAGAAAAATAGATTTCAAATAAAAGGGTCGGAAAACAGGTAGCAAGAAACCTGCCAACTACTGCTTCAGCAGTGCATTTGTTCGAACTTGCAAAATTGCAAAATTTATTTTTTAAATCCGACAATGACACGCCCACACGAGCCCACAGACCACTAAAACAAATAGACGGCGCATTGCCATTTAATAACAATGCTTTGTTTGCGGTCAACCAACGGTCACAGTCTAAGCGTTAAATTTGCTATAGAATTTTATGTTTTTTTTCCAGTGACGTATTGCGTACTCCAAAACAGCTGACATATAACAAATATGACAGCTGACTGCAACCAGTGCCGTGGTGTTAAATAGGGATAATTTAAAAATAGTTTAATTTAATTGTGATTACTTACCTATGAAAGGATAGATTTGGATTTCTTTGGTTTGTTTTTTTACAAACAGTACACTGTCGCACCATTTTTAGTAAAACATAATGTATTTAAACTCAATAATTAACTTACCGTGGATTCATGCAAGCATGTGTTAATACTAACTTAGTCTTTGTCCTTATCTTAAAGAGATAAAACTGTAATAATGAGCGGTACCGTTTATGCAATTTAAATTCGTCTTAACCTAATTTAATTTAAATCCTTATTCTAAGAAAAGTTGGTTTACTTTTATCTTTAAGATCCTTATCGTGGGTTGAATATTATATTGTTCTATCAGCAATTTTGGGGGAAAATGAAATTTTTACATGAAAAAGAAGGTTTAACGAATATCTATCTATCTAAATAAGTATCACTGTTAAATATAGCCCAGAAATACTAAAAACGACATTATTATTTTGTTCTATGTGCGAAATTCAAATATAATTAACTATTATAATGTTCTAACAAACCAATCAATTAAATTGCAAGTTTTCGAGTTGTCACTGACAGCTTGTCAGAATAACATATCTGTCATCGGCAGTTTAAGGAATTACGCCGTAGGTTTTTGCACAATCCACACAACAAGGTCGGTTCTATCTCGTACTAAAAATAAAAAAAATCACTGCACAGTTTAACGGCGGCCATTTTCGTTGTTTACAGTGTTTGTGCTTTGGGTTTGTGCTCTGTTTATACAGATTAATAATCATTTTAAACGTTGTGTTTCTCATAATAAGCCTTAAAAGAGTCCTTAAAGTGCTAAGAACAACCATTTTACTCCTTTATTGTAAAAAATAAACTTTATTCTATCAGGGCTGTCATAAAACTGTCAAATGTCAATTTTAAGGTTAAATTATAACCCACAAATTAACCTTCAAATTGTCATTTGACAGCCCTGATAAAATAAGGTATATTTATTAAAAAAGAGGAGTAAAATGGTTAACCTTAGCACTTAAAGGCCTTATTTGAGGATTACAAGTGCCTTTGTAAGAAACACAACGTTTAAAACAATTATTAAACAGCACAAACCCAAAGAACAAGAATTGTAAACAACAAAAATGGCCGCCTTTAAACTCTGTGCAGTGTTGCAGTGATTTTTAGTATTTTTAGCATGAGATAAAAGAGACCTTGTTGTGTGGATTGTGGGTTTGTGGTGGTTTAAGTGATTATTTTATTTAAAAATAAATGATAGTGAGATTCCGTAAGTACAAAAATACAATATTATTATAAAATAGTTATAAAATACCCAAATAAAACTTATAATTTATACGTAAAGTGATTTGTGCCCTAAACTCAAACGTAGCTACTAACAGAACATTATTAGCTTATTTCTACGAATTTGTTTGCTTTAAAACATGCTTTTAGAACTTTTTCTCAAACTATATTTTTTAGTTGCTGTTCAACAAGTTTAGACGTATTCGAAAATAATCATTTTGTGCATCAAATTGAATACTTTGAAGATAGTGATATTCCTGTGCAGATCCAGATTATGTGGCTTTAGATTCAAATGAAGCAGCTTTGAAATCACATGCAAAATGTGGTAATATAGGTAAATCCTAGTCTACTTTTTTATAATTTTGTATTGGTTTTTATTTTGTTTTTAGACCTGAGAATGGCGATGTTTTTTAGCCAATCTTGATACCAGATATTCGCAATGAACCTGAACTAAAAAAATGTCTCCTGTACAGACGTCTCCTGTAAAGACGTCTTTTGAAAAAGTTGCTGATCTAACCAAATTATTTAAGTTTATGCCACCTGTTGATGTAATTTTTAAAAAACTTGTTTTAAACAACTTAATAATGCTGCTGTATTTGCAAATGAGAAAAAAAACAATAATTATCTACTAGTTATCATAAATAATTAGTATTACTTAAGCCTTGTTTTTTTTGTAAGAGTAATTTTTCACCCTATACTGTTAGAACATTTTGGAACGTTTTGTAAAATTTTGAAAAATAATAAAACAAAAATGTTCTATTAGCAATTCTTTGATTATTATTATTATTATTATTAACATTTTTAGTTAATCAAAATACTAAAATTAAGTGCACTAAGCACTATGCACTAGCTTACTCGCGTTTAGTACAAAATATCTTTACAAACTTAAATAATATTAATATTCAAAATTTAAAAACTTGATTTTCAAAAAATTAGTTTTATTCTATTAGAACAATATAATATTCAACCCACGTTATGTCCTAAGTTCTTAATAAAAATAGGCAAATGCGCATGTACTGGTAATGTAGCCAACTTCATAGTCTAATGTAGATACTTTCATTGTATTTACATTTTTAAAAATTTAGTATTTTGTGGGTTTGTTTTATATTTTATATTTAATGCGCATGTAAAATCCTTAAGATAATAGTACATGTATGAACGGTTCATTTTCATGGGATAAAGATTAGTACAAGATTGGTACAAAGTTAAGTTAAGTTAATTTAAGACATGCTTGCATGAATCCACCTTTAAACACGATAGAAATACACAAACTAAAACACAAAACAACAAGCTGTCAACCTTTTTCTATGCTGTCAACCACAATCCACTGAACGCAAATATGACAAATTTACCAACGTTGTTAATATTTAATTTTAATAATTATTAAATGATTTACTTTCTTTAAATAGAGAAAAATATCTAAAGAAAATGATGAACAAATCATTTTTATAATTTTTTTATTATTTAAACGAATTACTGGTAATTTTTAATGCTCATTATGTTATGATGAACGTCCAAAAAGACGTGTAATCTATACTTCTGACAACGTTGGAAGCCGTGTTTCTTTCTTCTTAAGTTTTTGGCCTTTCGACGGTGTTTAGAATGTGAAACTATGCTTTACTCGCTTTTTAAACGTAAACAAATCCGTCCATTTGTTTTAGTGGTCTGTGGACGAGCCCCATGTTTATTCGAATGTAGGTAGGCAACCCCGATTACAAATCAAATTCGAAAGAATGGTAAAGGAAAAAAATGTTGGGAGACCGTGTATACAGGGTTATTTATTAATATTAAAAATCAATTTAGAATAAGATTCCTTGCATTAGAATGAGAAACAAATCATCTAGTTTCCGGAAAACGCTTCGTTTCGGAGATGTAACAATTCGGTGGGAAAAAGGCATAAGGTGATGAGTAAAAAAAGCAACTTTTTAGTAGAGCCTTAAACGTAACCCAGAGAGCCTTTTTGCCTTTGAAAATGTTTTGCCAATAAATGTACAAGATACGACTTAATATTCCTACGTTTATTGTGCAATGGCGATGTCCAATAACACTAGGCAACAAATTTTAACTTAAAAAAAGGTCCTGGTTAAAAATAGAATTTTTCGATCGTTTATGACTGAAATAGATCCAAAATGTTTTTAAAAAAATTTTCTGAAGTCGTAAATAAAAAATAGGAACACAGTATTATGGTACCATTTATTGCATAGATACACCATTTGAAAATTTTAGGATGACGTTACTTTTAACTTATATTTCAGCATTCCATGAAGAACATATCTGTACATATTGTTAAAATTTAAGGCATGTTTTTTTGATATTTACTGTTTTTTATCGTTCAAATTATTTTGTTTATTTATTTTTATCGTTATTATTTAACAATTTTTCTTTGTATCATGGTGCTGCCCGTATCGTCTAAACGAGACTTTGGAAAATTGTTTGGTTGCCAGATTTGCGTCGAGCAGGTGAAAATCTATATGACTGTGCTATTTTTATTACCGACCTTTTTTATTTACTAATTTTTATCGTTATTATTTAACAATTTTTCTTTGTATCATGGTCCTGCCCGTATCGTCTAAACGAGACTTCGGAAAATTTTTTGGGCGCCGGATTTGCGTCGAGCAGGTCAAAATCTATATGACTGAGCTATTTTTATTACCGACCTTTTTTATTGTTTACTAGTGTAATAAACGATCAAATCGAGCCCAATAAAATCTCAAAGCAGTTTGGGTTAAGTTAACTGCTTTGGGATTTTATTGGGCTCGATTTGATTCGGTTGACTTAACTTGTTAGGTAGGTTACCGTTGGTATAATTTTGGAAATGTTTGGACATAAAAAAAGGTTCCACATTTTTTACATTTATTTGGGCAAATATTTGAACAAATCTCGAGTATTTCCAAATATTAATTAAATATGGAAAAATATAACTAGAAAAAAAAACAAAATTTTGAAGCTTTTTTCCTTTATATTATTATCTTTTAGTTTTGGGAACAATAGTGCAAATTTTATAACCTGTAGAGTGTTAACACAATTGTCATTTAAACAGCTGTTTAACCAAAATTGATTGATTTACATATATAAGTATGGTTGTGTTCCGTAATTTACTGTCAGTACTGTCAGTACTGAAAACGCATTCCGAAATCCACTTTCAGTTACTGAGCTCAATGGTAAATACTACCCTTTTATAAATGTACGGCGGATTAATTTTACTGAAACAACTGGAGATAGAGAGGTGCTGTGGCTCCAGTAAAACACATAACCAAACTTTTAAACATAAAAAATAGCTGTCAAATAAAGTGAAGGATATAATGGTACCTATTTGGTGAATACCTAGGACTAATTATTTATTGATAAAATATTACCTGAAAGTACAAGCAGCAGTCACGAAGGACACGAATTAATAATTAAAGGAGGATGGCAGGCAGGTCGCCGGGGAGAACGCGGACGACGATAACATTTTATTTTCCATATTTCTCTGCCATAAACCAAAATTATAAAAGTTATATTTCTTATAACTGTTATATTTATGTGCCGAAAGTAAAGTTTGTCAAATGTCAGTAAATTACAAATCATAACCTTGCGTAACCATTGTCACTTTTTGCTGCTACTGAGGCGCGATCCAATTTTACTCTTGCGTCAGTACTGAATAAATTACGAAACGGTCTTTTTCGCTACTGACAGTAAAATTACTGATAGTAACGGCAGTAAATTACGGAACACAACCATAGGTTGTATATGTATACTCGCTAATGCGCACAAGCAAACTGGTTAACGTTTTGCAAATTTTCGACCAAACTCTATTGTCCAAAAATTACTATATTTAAGTCTTTACCCTATTAAAAATGCCCTATAGAATCCATATTGATTCAGATAAGGAAACTAATATGGATTTATAATCTATCTATAATATAGAATCTATATGTCCTATATGGAACGACCTGGTTTACACTTTGGAATCTATGGTTTAATATAGAATTTCATTTTAAAATGTACAACTTAGGGATTTTTATATGGATTTATCTGGTTTCTGTTTTATGTTTCTTTCCATATAGGTTTCCCTATATGGTTGAATATGGAATTCCATTTTAAAATGTATATATATTGAAACTAAAATTGCATATTAAACCATATAGATTTCCCTATATGGTTAAATATGGATCTATATGGGGCAATCCATGCCAAATCACCGAGGTTTTGACCCGACCCCCTTCGATTTCGCTGAAACGATATATGAAATATTTCAGTTTTTTCAATAAAACCGTCATTTTTTCGAATTCTGAAACCTTCGATTCTCAATTTTTTTGTCTCAAAAAAAACTTCAACTAAGACAGTATTTAACCCCACTATTCCCATTTTGTGCCGACTTTCCATTCTATTGTTTTTTTTTTTTCGATTGAAAATAAAGAAATTTCTCAATTTGGTTGGAGGTTTTTTTTATTGTTTTTAAAAGCTCAGAAGTTGAATAAAATTGGATAAAAACAACCGTAAATTTTTTATTAAAGTATTATTTTTACATCGTTAAAAATCTAAATATTTTAATTATTTTCCTCGGTTTAGCGATTGTTTTCTTGAATTCTTAACCGTACAATGTTGTGTCTTAAGGAATGAACTTATGTTAAAGAATGAACTTGCATTAAAGAAGGTACGGAAGGTTATGGTAATAAAAAAACATAAAGAAAGTATGAAAGGTTGTGGTGGATGTTCAGTGACTGATGGTAATAAACTTGTGTTAAAGAATGAATTTGTGTTATTAAATTATAAATAAAGACGATTATAATCACATTCATATATGAGGAGCTACTTTGCAAAACACAGTTTTTGTAAAATTTAGAGTTTTCAGTATTAAGTGCACTTAGGTGCTTAAAACTGAACTACATCGACTAACAAAACTCGTTCGGATCAAATCGTGATATTTTACGAATTAAAGGGCATAGATGACCGAAGGTCTCAAATTCCGGTGTTTGTTTCAAACCGTAATTTTTATTGCCAGGTTATCCGTTTCAAAACGCAGTTTTTCTAGAAATGACTTTGGCTGTCAAAGTTTGACAGTAAGTAAAAACTCTCTTTTTATCCACAAACTAATCTGTGCACGAACTTTTGTGAAAGTTTCATTAATAATTGCATAGAAAATGAATGCAGATGGTGAGCAATCGATTTCGGTAAAACACAACAAGACTGGTTCACGAAAGAAAATTAAGAAACCTCAGAGAAGAGCATTGGAAAAGGAATTTAGGTAATTTTTGCAAATTGAACAATGAACATTGTTGAGCAATAACAATTTTTAGACACGCTAATCATTTTCCCAATTTGAAGGATATGGATACAAGGGCCTGCAACCATGAAAGAGGTCCTACTGGCAAAGAGGCGAAGATTAACTGCAACGCAATCAGCCGTGGTGCGCTATTATTGACGCTAGAAAAAAGTTATACGCTGAAAGTAATCGTACTATTCAGGACAACAAGATTGCATATTTATTAGGATGCATCCTAGGAATAGGTCAGGTTTTAAAAATGTACAAAGTGTTTGTATAAAGTACATTTTTTATGATTTTAACCAAAAAAGACACCTTGTTTGTCAAAATTTTTTTACTAAGGCACTTAACATCACACAAATGCGTGTTATAATAATTGCTAAAAAAATCGCCGGTAATGGTATAAAGGAACGTAGAGGAGGAGATCGTCGGTCAAAAATGTACGATGAAAGAAGAAAGCTGTGGGTGTGATTTTCTTGGAAATTTGAATGCAACTAAATCGCATTATAACAAAAAAAAACGAATCTATGTACCGTCGGATTGCTCCATTTTAAAATTATGGAAAATGTACAATTCTGCTGCTGATCTCAATTTAAAAGTGAAAAAAACTTATTTTATGGGATCTTTGGAAAATATTTTAACATAGGATTTGGTTCGCCAGCTACCGACGAGTGTAGTTATTACTATCGGCTTAAAAATCAGCTTAAGATGGCAACGAATCCAGCAAAGAAAATGGAAATCATGACCAAATCAAGACTGCATAAATTATCTGCTAAGCAATACCACCTATTAATGAAAAAGAATGATGAAAATACTTTTACAGTGTGTTTTGATCTTCAGCAAGTACAAGGTCTTTCCAAAGTCCCTATACAAGAGGCTTTCTATGCAACTCAACTTTCTTTGTATAATTTTTGTGTTACTGATAGGCAAACCTCTGATCCTGTGTTTTACACCTGGTTGGAGACTCAGGCAAATAGAGGCTCAAACGAGATAGGATCGGCAGTATACAATTTTCTTATGAACGCTTACCTACCTCAAGATTGTGAAGTTATAAGACTGTTTTGTGATGGGTGTTCTGGACAAAATTCGAATGTGGTCAATATTCTGACATACTGGCTTAACAATAAAGCCCCACATAGTATCAAAAAAGTTATCTTGTTTTTCCCAGTAATGGGTCACTCATTTCTACCTGCGGATCGAGTTTTTGGAAGAATTAAAAAGAAAACGAGAAAAAAAGAAGAAATTTAATAAAAAAGAAGATTATTGGAGCATTTTTACGGAAATAGAGACAGTTTTGGGAACTGATTGGGATGTTTATGACATAAAACAGCTAAATTCTACTTTCAAAAAACTTGATAATATTCGTGAATCGAAGAGAATTTTAATACAAAAAACCGATTCTGGAAAAGTTACTTTGAAATTCGAGAACTTCTATAAAAACGACCTAAATGAACCAAAACTATGCCTTAGACCTGGAAAATCACTTTTCAATTTAAAATTAAATAGTTAAAGTAGGTAGACCCATTAAAGAGAAGAAAAAAAAAGATATTGACAATTTGTTACAAAAATCCTATGGAAGAAACGAAGCTCTCAATAAAGTTAATTGGAGGGAAGTAGGAGATCTAAAATGGTATGCAGATCTAATAGATAACCAAAACAATGTTGCAACCGGGGAAGAAGAAGGGGACGATGAAGAAAACTTGATCTGCAACCGCAACGAAGTAGACATTCGCCTGAAAATTTAATACCCTTAATATTTTTTAAGTTATATGTTAGAATTTTCTTTTTAATTAACTAATTTTTTGTTACTGGTAACATTTTAAATAAAATTGCAAACCCCTCAGTATTTTGGGGTGTTCAGTTCAAAATGTAGTTTCTATTTTTTTAAAGAGATACAGTAACGGCAAGAAAAAAAACAATATTTTGACAACGAACTTGTATGGAATTCTCGAATTTTTCTTTAATTTTTACATTTTTTACAAAAACTCAAATTTCTTAATTAAGTATGTAGCAAAGATTTCTCTACCCTGAAAAAAATACTTTTTTCAAAAACTGCGTTTTGCAGAGTAGCTCCTCATATATGTTTTTTAAAGTAGGTATACTTGACGTTTCGTTGTTTTTTTTTATTTAAAAGAGGTGGTAAAATAATAAAAATGTAAATTTTTTAAAAAATATCACTTTTAATAAACTAATGTCTTGATATTTTTTTAAACTGTGAATTAGACTATTTTGTTTCTTAAAAAGAGTTTACGTTTACGTACATTGTACGGTTAAGAATTCAAGAAAACAATCGCTAAACCGAGGAAAATAATTAAAATATTTAGATTTTTAACGATGTAAAAACAATACTTTAATAAAAAAAATTACGGTTGTTTTTATCCAATTTTATTCAACTTCTGAGCTTTTAAAAACAATAAAAAAAACCTCAACGCAAAGTCATAAAAAATAAGCCAAATTGAGAAATTTCTTTATTTTCAATCGAAAAAAAAAAACAATAGAATGGAAAGTCGGCACAAAATGGGAATAGTGGGGTTAAATACTGTCTTAGTTGAAGTTTTTTTTGAGACAAAAAAATTGAGAATCGAAGGTTTCAGAATTCGAATAAATGACGGTTTTATTGAAAAAACTGAAATATTTCATATATCGTGACTTCCGAAAAATTGTTTGTATTTTTTTCTGAAAACTACATTTAAAAACAAAAATTTCAAAAAAAAAAAACGTGCCGAAAGGTCAATTTGTGAAAAAGTTATTGCAATTTAAAAAAAAGAGCGGTTTTTTTTCAAAAATTCGTAACTATTTTGGGTCGGGTAAAAAAATCTAAAAAAATTCAGAAAAATGTCTGGTAGGATAGAAAATGATAAAAAAAATTCAGCGAAATCGAAGGGGGTCGGGTCAAAACCTCGGTGATTTGGCATGGATTGCCCCATATGGTAATAATTTTTTTATACCCAAACCATATTGGGCCAGATAGAGCTCCAGTATGGTTGAATCTGAACCTATATGGCAATCCATATAGAAGTCACTTTTCTATATGGTTTTTCATGTATGGAATTCTATCTGGTTCAATAGTGCAATGCCTGTTTCAAATTCCTATATTGAACCATATAGAACCATATAGATTTTTATTTTGTGTTTTTATATACATTTTTAATAGAATATTTTCATGCAGTTTTTAAGCTATCGCGCCCTATTAAAAATGCCATATAGAAACACAAAATAAAATCTATCTGGTTCAATATAGGAATTTGAAACAGGCATTGCACTATTGAACCAGATAGAATTCCATACCTGGAAAACCATATAGAAAAGTGATTTCTATATGGATTGCCATATACCATATATAACCTATAGGTTCATATTGCTCTATCTGGCCCAATATGGTTTGGGATGAAAAAATTATTACCATATAGATCCATATTTAACCATATAGGGGAATCTATATGGTTTATTTGCAATTTTTGTTTAAATATATATACATTTTAAAATGGAATTCCATATTCAACCATATAGGGAAATCTATATGGAAAGACACATAAAACAGAAACCAGATAAATCCATATAAAAATCCCTAAGTTGTACATTTTAAAATGAAACTCCATATTAAACCATATAGATTCCAAAGTGTAAACCAGGTCGTTCCATATAGGACATATAGAACCATATAAATCCATATTAGTTTCCTTATCTGGATCAATATGGCTTCTATAGGGCATTTTTAATAGGGCGTTGGGAAATGTTTGACATAAAATATGTCAATTTTTGGTCAAACGTAAGGACATTAACAATTTATATGTCCAAATAAATCCCAATAAATTTAAAATATCATACACCAAACTTAGTTGGGAAAAGGTTGACTAATTTCTTTTCCTAACCTTGGTTCTCTGGGAAGGAGCTTGAAGTTTTAGTAGTGCAGAAGTACCTCCACTCAACTTCAGCTTTGATACGATATAATTAATTACGTAATTACTATAAATAAAAACACACACAATAAAATTGTACTTATTGTGGTGAGGTTATCATTTGTTTTTAGTCGTTCAGATATTACCCCGGAAATTTATCTGTGATTGATTGGTTGGGTTCGTACTACATTGAAATGCAGGTGGTTGAAAAAGCCTTGGCTTATTTCGAAAAGGCTGCAGTTATGCAACCTAATGAACCTAAATGGAACATGATGGTGGCTGGTTGCCACAGACGTAGCGGTAACATGCATAAAGCGCTTACATTATACCAGGAAATTCACAAACAGTTTCCTGAAAATGGAGAATGTTTAAGGTAAACCACACTGCATTTTTTTAATTTAGTATAGCGATTAGGGTTAAAAACACAATATAATAGTAATAAATTGTTTAAATATATATCAAGGGGTCACAAACCTATAGGGTTGCCACCCGTCCTTCTTTGTGGAGGACAGTCCTCTTTTGATAAGATCATGTCCTTCGTCCTCCTTTAAATGAAATATGTCCTCCTTTCTATGTACCTATTTTATTGTGCTTTGTCAAAAATATTTTTCTCGATAAACCAATAAAATAACAGGTTTTCAAACAATAAAAAATGATGTTGGCCGTTATTTGCGCAGCGCGAACTCCTCCCAACTTAAGAGGAGTTCGCGCTGCGCAAATAACGCATTTTAAAAACCACTACTTAAAATTCTTAAGTACTTACTAACGCCATTTGCAATAGCAGACGGTTGCTTGTTGCGTTGCCATTTTATTGATTTATATAACTGTAATCAATGTTGTTTTCTTGAGCCTGCCTTGCTTATTTTATATAATCATGAATCACAGCATTGAATCAGCAGATTCGGTGTTTCATAGATTTATAAATTGTAATGGTTAAATTATAAAAGGTTATTTTTAATTTAAAGTAATGTATAGGTAATGTAGGTATAGGTAATGTTTAGAGAATCGGCGCCAAAAAAATAGATTTAAGATTTAACTGACATATAATAATATATTTACTATGTTATTTTTATCTGACTGCAATGCTGTTTTGTTTTTGTTATAAAAATGTATTTATTTAGGTAGGTATAATAGTTATTAGTTTAATGTTCCAGTTAATAAAGTTAATATTGGAAGGAATTGGTCCTTGGTCATTTTTGTTGAACTTGTTTTGATTTTGATATTGCTCCCTTTTTTTGGAAAAATTTTCACGGCGGGCTTTTTTTATGTCCTCCAACCCCAAGCTTAAAAGGTGGCAACCCTACAAACCTATGACCTCACATCACATATAAAAACGTAAAGTTCATCCAGTAAAAAGTGTTTACATAAATACTGGATAATAATTTGAAATATTTTTTTTATATTTGTCTTTATTGTTGAGGCATTGTTTGGGGGATGATTTCCACAAGAAAGCGATAAATTTCCTCCCACGGTGTCACACTTAGTCACATGTTGCTGAAAAACACCCCTCAACCGTTGTACAAAAGGTGTTTTTTAAATATTATTTCCTTTTTCAAAAAATAATTCGATTTTTTTGTTTAAAAAGATAAAATCAAAAATTAAATTGAAAAATTACAATTTGTTGAATCAATCTTCCTTGTTTATCAAAATTAAAAAGTTAAAATAAGAATAAAATCATTGGTTTACCATTTTGACTGTATATAATTTGGTTCACCATGGTCATATATTTTAAACTAAAATCGTTGATTCCTTACTCAGTGCTGAAATAATAAAAAGCTGATTAAGCAGTAAGAGTAAAGAGTCAAAGAATCAATTAATTAGTAAATTAAGATACATACAGGGTGTTGATATAAATTTAAACAACTGTTAGTACAATTACAAGGATAAGATAGTTACGAGTATTCACAATTTCTTATCATATGTTAACATTGTGAACTAATAAAAAAGATGTAATAATTTTTTTTAGGTTTTTAGTGAGGCTTTGCAATGATTTGGGTATGAGAGAAGCTCAAGACTATCTAATGGAACTTAAACGTCTTGAGAAGTCCAAAGAAGTCAGGGAACGCGTTAACAGTAGTAGGCCTGGGTCCAGGCGCAGTAATAGCGGTCTCTCGTCCAGGGCCGGATCGGGTTTCACTTCGGTGCCCGAGAATGGTTTAATAAGAAGTCCGCTTGCTTCTGCCAATAGAAATTTAAGATCATCGCGCATGATGCAAATGCATAACAGTGCCGGAAGTGGGGATTCCGGTTTTGCACAGTCTGCTGTTGGTAACTATACTATCTTTATAAAGAAATAAAAAAAAAATTGATTTAATGTATTATAATATAATATATAGTATGTTAAGCCCGGTCTACAATTGTCGCAGGTCGCAGAACATAAGCTTGCGCAAAGCACCCAGCTGACAAAAGAACCTTGCTCGCAACGTCGCGGGGTGCTTTGCGCAAGCTTATGTTCTGCGATCGGACCCCTGCGACAATTGTAGACCCGGCTTTAGTATATTTAGGTTTTATTATTGCAATTCATTAAATGAAAAATGTAAAAGCTTAGATCCAAATTTTCGACCATTAACTCCTTGCTTTATTATTGATTTTATCGAAAATTGTATACCTGTTAATTTTAGCCAATCATATGCTTGCATTTTGCTATGACAACAACCTATTTTTTCCGAAAATCGCTCTCCCCATAAGTACCAAGGCTTGATAACTGTAACAAAAGCAGCAGCTGCCACTAGTGGCCATTTTATACTAGAGCACAGGGAAATTAAAAAAATTGGCAATAAAACTATTTTTATTGCTTTTTGTAATGTGACGTTTTGAAAAATATATTCTTTTTTTGTCCTTTCCCTTCCAGGATTAGGCCAGCTGAATCTTCTATCTTTTCAGAGGTACTGGAGCAAGCAGTCTAGGATAACTTATAGCTTCTCCCTTTTTTAATCTTCTTTTTAGTTAATTTTTATATCAGTCTTATTTATTTGAACATTTCAGTTCTTAACACATCTTGATACACAAATATTCGAACATGAACAAAATCGGAACCCGCGTAGCGGAAGTTACTTTTAATACACTTTTAATATTCTAAACACACACAAGATTACGATACGCAGTGGAAGTCCAAAGAAAAAAAAACGACCATTCACTACATAGCTGTTTGCACATAAATAGTTAATCTTCTAATACTTCGACCATCCTTTGTGGAAATCTTTTGGAACTTCAGCAATCTAATATGTAGATTCTGTATTTTAATTTAAAATTTTTTAAATTTTAAAACACTGATCAGTCTATTTTTATGTTGAGAGCCCCATATTGTCCTCCCAAGGACACATCACTTCAGAGCAGCGTTGCCAACTGTAGGTACTATAATTGTATGTTCGTGTACTATGTACTATAGCAATGTATTATAGTACGTCAAAATACCATAATTTTGAATAATATATCAAAAATAATCTAAAATTGCTGAAAAAGAAAACTGCATAATTAGCAGATTTCGCGCAAATGCGAAATGAGTCATATGAAGAACGCCGTGGCTAAATGCAAAAATGTGTTAATCTTTATTACTTAACATTGTAGTTGACGGATTTTTGCTTAGCGCAAAAATATCACTTGGTTTGTTTTAACAATAAACGATTCATATATCACGGTGCTGTTCTGAGAGGTGATTTTTGGACTTTCTGTGAAACCTAATTTTTTTTATATTCTTGTTAATTAGGTCATAACTAAAATTTTAAGAGCAAAATAAAAAAAAATTGACGGTTAATTTTGTTTTAATTGGATGTTTATTAAAAATATGTATGTACACTTTCAATTCTCCAATTAAAACTTGCGATTTTATTTAAATATTATCATAACTTTTTAAATCAGATTAAAGATTAGTTAATTTCCTAAAAAAAAGGTCTATACATTTTTTATATATTTTACTGTTTTGTTGTAATACACGTTTAAAGTTTTAATTTAAGGTTAAATATACATATTTACATATATATGTATAGTATACATTTATTAAACAATAATTCTAAGGGTACCACATTTTATTTAGGGCCGATTTATTCGTTTTTGATTTATTTGACGAATAATTTCTTTGGATACTAGATATTGCCAAGACATGAAAGTTATCGGCCCGATAAACTTTACTAAAGAGGAATAAACCGGTCCTTAGTTAAATTTCATAAATTTCTTCGTAACTTTTACTACAATTTTTCATTTTTGTTTATAAAAAACACTTTAAAAAACTAAACAAAAATTATAGAATACGTATACTGAAAATGACAATTCAAACATCAAATAAATTTTTAATAGATGAGTCAAGCCACGTCAAGTGGGACCATACAATTTCACGAAATCACCGATTTTAAAAATAATCAAATTATTGTGTAGTAGGCATGACGCATGTCACAGTAAAAAATTTGTTTTGAAATACGGTTTTTTGTTAATGTTATTAAAGTTAATAATTTTGTAAAACTTAAGAGCACGGTAAAATTGAAAAAATAGAATCTCTGGGACCACTCTGTATAATTGAATTAAATTTTAAACACTATTGTAGCAATGTTTAGACTAAAGAATGATCATTTAATTAAGAAAAATTTGTTTAGATAAAAGAGTTTTGCATACATTTTTAATAAACAATTGAAATTTTTTATATGATCTTCACGCTGAAAAAAAATTAATCTTGTGTCATAATATGCGGCAAACGTTTCTGTTTTATAAGATGTACTCAAAAATTTGTCCTTCATATGTCGTTCCGGAGATATTAAATTTTTTGTCCTGCCGCGGCGGGCGCTTGATCAGTACGCGGCGCGCTTCGCTGCTAGATCGTCCGGAACGCTGTGCAAAGTTTAAGTCACATACAAATGCCGCCAAAAACTTATTGCAGTTTCTTGTTCGGGACCCTTTGGTGACTTAAAAATGATATTTACCAAAATCCTAGCTGCTCCTCTTTTCGAAATTTTTTGAAAATTCATGATTTTTGTTGAAATTTTTGTTTATCTCAAAGTCTACCTTTGACAAAGTACACATTTGTACACTGATTTTTATAAAATTGGAGTATATTATTGAGGAAACTTAGAGAATACTTTTTAATACTGTTCACATCATTTGATATATACAGGGTTAGCCAAAAATCACTTATTTTTAATAGAGCAAAAGCGTAAATTCATGGTTTTGGCATAACACGCAAAAAAGATTTATCCCCAATTTTTTTTTAGATATTTCTACGTTTATCAGGTTACAAAATGGCATTCTATTAACCTTTTACAAGAAAAATAGATTTTTAATAAAATTAAATAAAATAACGTTTAGAGAATATTTAAAATGTTGTTTAATTTAGGCTTTTTAGTAGTTTCCAATTTTGAAGTTTTTTGATTGGCATTCTTTGGTGATTAAAAAACTATATTTACCAAAATTCTAACTCCTTTTTTTTTAAATTTACAGAGTACACATCTTTGGTGATTAAAAAACTATATTTACCAAAATTCTAACTCCTTTTTTTTTAAATTTACAGAGTACACATTTGTACACCGATTTTTATTGGAGTATATTGTTAACGAGACTTAAAGAATACTGTTTTTATACTGAGCACATCATTAGGGTTAGCCAAAAATCAAGTTTTTATATAGTAAAAAGCATAATCCACAAAAAAGATTTATCTTCAAAAATTTCAAAAAAAATCATGAATTTTCAATAAATTTCGAAAAGAGTAGCAGCTAGGATTTTGGTAAATATCATTTTTAAGTCACCAAAGGGTCCCAAACAAGAAACTGCAGTCAGTTTTTAGCGGCATTTTTATGTGACTTAAACCTCGTTCAGCGGGACAGAAAAATTAATATCTCCGGAATGACATATGAAGGACAAATGTTTGAGTACATTTTATTAAACGGGAACGTTTGCGGCATATTATGACACAAGCTTAATTTTTTTTCAGCGTAAAGAACACAGAAAATTTCAATTGATTATAATAAATGTATGCAAAATTCTTTTATTTAAACAAATTTACTATAATTAAATGATCATTCTATAGTCGAAACATTGCTACAATAGTGTGTAAAATTTAATTCAATTATACAGAGTGGTCCCAGAGATTCTATTTTTTCAATTTTACCGTGCTCTAAAGTTTGACAAAATTGTTAACCTTAATAACAATACCAAAAAAACGAATTTTAAAATAATTTTTTTTACTGTGACATATGAATCATGTCTACTACACAATAATGTGATTATTTTCAAAATCGGTGATTTCGTGAAATTTTCTAGTCCCACTTGACGTGGCTTGACTCAGATCTAAGTTTCATGGCAACCTTTAAGGATATATTAATTAAGGTTAGATTAAAAGTTTGAACGTTTATTGCAACAAAACAGTAAAATATATAAAAAAATTGTAAAAACCTTTTTTTTAGTTATGCAATTATTAAATATTTAAATTAAATCGCTAGTTTTAATTGGATAATTGAAAGAGTGCATAATATTTTTAATAAACAGCCAATTAAAACAATTCAAACCGTCAAATTTTTTTTATTTTGCTCTTAAAATTTTAGAATATATAAAAAAAATAGGTTTCACAGAAAGTCCAAAAATCACCTCTCAGAACAGCACCGTGATATGTACTCTATAAAATAAGTTTCGCGTGGTGCGCATCAGTGCGGCGCGTGCATTTCTTTTCTTGCTTACAATTAACTTTGTACTGTCAGTTTATATTTGTTATATTTGTATCCTTTTTCTATGATTTGTATATTTGTCTTTTCTGTTTCTCTTTGTGTCTTTTACTTTTTCCTTACAAACGTTATTTTCTCCTTGCTATAGCGATACATATGCTTGCGGTTTAGACGGTTAATGCATAATTTAAAAATATTTTTTTTATATTTAACATATAAATTGTTTATTATTATGTGTCAATAGCAATGTAGTAATTAAAGTAATAAAGTTTAACACCTTTTTATTTAGAACATAAATGCCACTTGACTTCTTTTTACAATAAACGATTCATATTTAAAAAAAGACTGGGAAAAAGTAAATTATTTAAAATTGTAAATATTATAAGTTAGGAAAATATAATACAATTTATTTATACATTTATAAATGTATAAATAAATTGTATTATAATTTTCTAACATATAATATTTACAATTTTAAATAATTTACTTTTACCCAGTCTTTTTTTCCGATTAGGTACTGATTTAATAGACATATGTTCATATGAATAGCTCAATATATTAAATATAAAACTAAATTTTAAATTAAATTAGTATTATTTTTTTTCTATTAAATTTATTTATTAAATA